GAGCAGAGAATGATTGTTGTTTCTGCAGCCATTTCAAAAGGAACAGTCAGTAGAGGACAAACACAACAGCCGAGATGGCTCTGGTACTTTTATAAACTTGCCACGCTTGCACTACTGTCTTGCCACAGAGGAGCTCTCTTGGAAAGCAGGAGAGCACATCTGCGGCTCACTCTGCTGGCTGCAGTCAGGGAACAAAGACCAATCAGAGCTTCATACTCTACCTCTGTCCATGCCAGGTCAGGCCCACAGCTGATCTCGCTGCACGCCACAGCCATCAGCGTAGGTGTGACAAGCTGGAACTGAAAAGAAACACACTTTTATGTTCTCTGTTCACATCTCTGCTGTGTGCCCTACAGCTGTCGGGCACACTCACACAGCCCAAGCACGCCTGCTGGTGTCCCTGGTGATGCTGTGCAGCTCTGCACAAGCTGGGGCTGGGACTCTTTGCCTAAGGGATTGGTTTCCTGTAGACCAGCTGGTCACAGCACCACAGACAGCATCCTTCTGAGGGCTGAGCTGCAGAGCACGTGGAGAAAACCCACACGTGACCAGCGTCCCATCAAAGCTGGATGAGGCTGTGTTACTAAACACGGGGCGTCACGGGCTGCTAAAGCATGTGGGGGGACAAAGCATGGCAGGTACCTGGCAAGAGATCAGAACGAGGGAGAGAAATCTCACGAATCCGCAGCCGCTCCTTGTCACTTTGCTCTGATCCTCCACGAGCAAAAGCTGCAGCAGGGAAGCAGGCAGAGGGTGGAGAGAGGAGAGAGAAAGAGCAGGTCAGTTTGCTTCCACGGTTTAGCAAAGACTACGAGGGAAAATCCAAAATCTGCCCTCCCTCAACTTAAAAACTTAAGTTTTCAACTTAAAACCATTTCCCCTTGTCCTGCTGTTATCTACCCTTTCAAAGAGTTGATTCCCCTCCTCTTTTTAGGCTCCCTTTAGGTACTGAAGGCTGCCATGAGGTCAACCCACAGCCTTCATTTCTCCAGGCTGAACAAGCCCAGCTCCCTCAGCCTGTCTTTGCAGGGGAGGTGCTCCTGTCCCCTGATCATCTTTGTGGCTTGCCTCTGGACCCTCTCCAACAGCTCCCTGTCTTTCTGGACACTACTGCAGCTGGGGCCTCACAAGAGCAGAGCTTGAGAGAGGGGAAAGATCACCTCCCTGTCCCTCATGGCCACCCCTCTG